GTATTAAATTGTATGATCCTTGTATGTATTTATGTGCTAAAGTTTCCACTTTGTCTAGACTGTACTGCTACATGATGTTAAATATATGAAGATTGCAAGCTCTTTTGTATATCCTTTTGTATGGTATTGTATTGTAATTGTACTGTCTCCCCATACGTTGTAAAGCACTGCGCAAACTGTTGTCGCTATATAAATCTTGAATAATAATAATATAATAATAATAATAATATTTAAAATAAAATGATAACACTGATATAAAATTAAATGGACATTCTGGGAACATCGATTGACGCTCCAAACAAAACCCTTTCCATGGACTAATTTTTTAGAACCTTGGCCTGTCCCTGCGACCTCCGTGAGCCGGCGGCCATGGCACTGATCTGTCAAACAATATGGAGGCTCATGTCTGAGCAGATGGCCTCCATCTCCTGCTTCATTCGCAGAACGCAGAGGACATAAGCTGATGTACAAGAGAATTGGCTGTAGGACCATTATGTCACCGTCTGGCCTGATTGCATTGCCCGCCTCTACAGGGACAGAAAACAAAGCTACATCCTGCACACTCTAACTGGCAATAAACAGCTCAGCTCTGAGCCCTGTGGGCTTCATTAGTATCACTTTACCTTACAGGCCTGTCCATTGGAGATTACAGGGCTTGGCTCGCCATCTAGTGGACAAATAGGGAACAGCTGCTGAAGAAAGCAGCCACCATTTTTCTATGTTGTTATGTAGATGTATATAAACCTGTTCTGTCTCTGCACTGGTAGGTTAGATTCCTAAGGGGCCGTTCACACTTCGGCGGTTCCCTGTGGAAAACCTCACCTTGGTAACAAGCAGGCAAAGCGCAGTTCAGTGGAGAAATGAATTTTAAGCAATTAGAATCGTTCCCGTCACTATCTATAAACACTATCCATTTCTTTAGTGCGTCTGAGTGCTTCGTGGCAATAAATAGAAAGATGGAAAATCACGTTGTTTTTTGTTGTTGTTGCATAATTTAGTTTTTAAGTGAACCTGTCTTTCTGAGGTAACAAGGTTGTTATGGGAGGGCACCTTGTGGTCCCCATATGTCTATGCATTTGTTTTTAATCCAGCTTCTGCATCTCTATGATACTCCTTTTGGATCTCAGGTCCAGTCTGTATGTGGTGCTGATTTCTGGCCATGTTGAGATTAAAAGTCCACTGTAGCAACTATTGTAACTCTATGGCTGCCATTCTCAACAAAGTTTCTGTGGAACCCTAGGGTTCCTCTAGACCGGGGTGGGCAATTCATTTTTTCAAAGGGCCACATAAGGAACTGGGACTATTGTTGGGTAGTCAAACCAATAGGGCCTATTGGTTCGGCCCTTCACGGCAGCCCCAGTTTATTACATGATTAACACACCATGCGTTACAGTGCAGCAGGTGCATTGTATGGCACCCCAAGTGCACCTTCTTGCTACAATGGATCGCATTGTGCCACAACCCACGGTACTTCAATACCCTGCGTTGTGGTTGAAATTAGCAGTGAATGCAACACAATGCACCTGCTGCACTGTAACACGTGGTAGTTGTACGTTAATTGCACGGCTCAGCATAGGTGTGGATAGGCCCTTAATGAACCATTATTGTCCCCCACATTGTATGTGTTCTACTGTAATAGAAAATATGTGCCAAATACCTTTTTTTTCACACATCGGAGCCAGGAAATAAGCTACGAGGGAGGTGAAGGACAGGGTGAAGCTGGGGGTGGGAAGAATATATCAGTGGTTGTCAGGACTGCCCAGCCTCACTGACTACAGAGGGGAGGACATGTGACACCATTGGTTGCTAGGACCAACCAATGGCGGCAGAGAGGAGGACCCATGACATCATTGGTTGCTAGGACACCAGCGGTCCTGGAAACCAAGGACTGAAGAAGAACATGGTCCAGTCACGGACGGATCGCCAACCTGTGCTGGGCTATGGCTTGTGGTACCTGTGGTAAATGTGCAACCTGCTTGCAGTGACATCACTTGTCAATGAAACCCCAAATACTGCTGGTAAAGCACGCGTTTTTACCACGCAATTAAGCACATTAAAACGTGTACAAACACGTGGGGAAAAACACAGGATGCTTGTAGCAGAATCTGCTACATGAGCTCCTATTAAAGGAAGTGTGAAATCAAGGGATATACTGGCAGGACCAACTAGTATCAAAAATGAAGTTACGGGGGGGACTCAGAAAACAATGTTTGTACATATATATATATATATATTTTTTAATTTGCCCATAGTTCCACTTTAAGCTAAGCTCCTTTCACATGTTAGACATTGCCCTATAATTCAACCGGCAAGTGCCGGAGCACCTACAGCCAACTGAATCTCTGGAATATGAAGGTTGAATAAGAGAGGACATGCAAAGAGGGCAGGGCCTAATCTAGACTTGGGGGTAAAAGTCGAGGCCCCACGTACCACCTGGAGGGGGCTTTACAGGGGTTTAAAGACTACAAAGGTAATTCAGCACTGTTGTTACCTTAGAAAAGTGTAAAGGTTCGCTCAGGTTCACTTTAAATTGGACCATGCACCTAAAATGCAAGGTCTGCTTTTTTAAGTGGGTCTCCCTTTCCCTTGCTAATAATGAGCATACACATTTTTTTTAAAAAAACCCTGTTTAGCGCTTACCCACGAAGGAGCCGCTGGATATGACTAAGGCTCTCCTACCTGTTTTGCCAGCCACCGGCCCCCTTTCTCAATCACATTCTCAAACAATTCATCCCCACACAGTTACCTCCTCATGTATCATTTCCCCCTCCTCTTTCAGATTGTAAGCCCTCAGGGGCAGGGCCCTCCTTACCATCCTGTCTTGAATTGTATTGTAATGTCTTCCTTACATTGTAAAGCGCTGCGCAAACTGTTGGCGCTATATAAATACTATGTAATAATAATAATAATATGTCTTTCTTAACAACAGTTTGTAACAGTAGCACAAGGTCCTGTGAGAGCGACCAGTAATAAGTAATAGCAGCAGAGAACAGTCAGGAATCGTCAAGGACTCTGTAGGAGAACTGCCACAGGACTTGTAGTGCACCAACTGGCTTCTCTTCTGTATAGTACCTGAGAATAGGGCGAGGGCTCTCTTACGGGGTCCAGACGGTAGCTCTCACCAGCTCCTCTGCGACACTCTTCAATAAGCAGATTCCACCTCCAGCCCAGCTTCCATCAGGTTCCTTTTCAGTAGCATTTTAGGTCTCTGCCACATGCTGAGGCCTAGACCAGACATCTTGTAGCACACAGACCTCCTCCCAGGGAGAGCCCCAGGGGAGAGAGAGAGAGTTCTGGAAGGTGTCCCCAAACATTTATCACCTTCCTCCAGCCATACCTCTGATTGAGCCTGCTCAGGGATTGGTTTGGCAGTGGCAAACTTCCGTCCTTTTGTGAATGGATCTCACCCCATGTATTAGTGTAATTCGTCATGCTTTTCTAGCAGGCAGTCGGGCTGGCCATCTGCATAATGGAAAGGCAAGAAACTGTTGTAAACCTCTGAGGAAACTAGAAGGCACCCAATGGTACCTGATCTAGGAAATCGATAATACTTTATTGTATATCACTTCATATTGATCTGTGTGTGCCTTTTTTTTTGTTAGAGTGAAACCTCTGCTGTAGAGCCAGCTGAAAATCAAGAAGTGATAACTAACACAGAAGACGAGAACCCGGTAAGTGAACTTTGAGATTGCTACTAACTAATTCAGGAGCCTCTCCAGTCATGTTTCCAGGTACACATTACAGTTGTGCTAACAGAAGGAAGTCCGCTTTAATTATTAATATGCAAAATTTTACCCAAATAGTTGCAAACAGTTTCAGCATTGCTTCTGAGCGCCTCTGCAGCAGCCTCTTATCACATGAGTCCATGATGTGCCGCCTCTGACCTTGTGGACTTCAGGGGGGAACAATGCATGGAACCATAGAATACACTGCTCTGCATGTTTTCCAAAGATCCCAACTGTGCCTCGTTAGGAAGCAAATTCCCCTGTCCGCCTTCCCTCCTCGTTTTTCCCTCTCTTCATCTAATCTCTATATAAATTTACTATTTCACTAATACAACTAATAATTCAGTATACACTAAACCTCTAAAAGGTTGTATTTATTGATAATAAAAGCCAGCGTGAGGAAGCAGAGGTGATTAAAAGCCCTAATAGGTTTAGCCAAAACTTTTTGTGTATTGAGGCCCCAATCGCACCATAAAGAGTGTGTTCCAGTGCGTTCGGCCTCTGGAACGCAACCCGGCCAGCTCACTTTGTTTTGGGGCGGGAGGGGGCGTGGCGGTGCATTGAAGTCAATGGCCCCGCAGCCACGACCCCAGTCCGAGTGCAATTGCCGGCACCGGAACACGTGGCACCTTAGTGCCTGCGTTCCGGTCCAGTGCGATCTGCAAAAAATTGTTCATGCAGCAATTTGTGCAGATCACACTGGACCAGAACACAGGCACTAATGTGCCACACGTTTGGGTGCCGGTGATTGCACAGCGGGCGAGGGGCGTGGCTGCGCGCGTGCGCTATGACATCATCGCGCACGTGCGTGGTGACGTCACGTGCATGCGCAGTGACGTCTCGGTGGGGTGACACTCGGTTACCGCTCCGGGTGTCACCCAGCCTCGGGACGCCCCTGACAAGTACCTTTTTTGCGATACGCGGCACACGTCTTTTGTTAGCCATGATCATGTTCAATTGATGGGAGAAATCGCGGCGGGAAACCACGTGATCCGCCCGGCAGGACTGGGGTGCCATTAGAAAATATTGGTACCTCCAGCACAATCGGCTATGGTGGGCGACTCCGTGACTGGCCGGCAATCTGTGCGGTTTTGTGCGCGATTGCCACGCGGTCAGGAGTCGCCAGCAAAACACAGTAACCATTGTGACAGCAGCACCGCAAGTCCTTTCCAAACTGATCCCTGAATGGGAGAGTTTGGGGCCATTATAACTATTTGGTGGACTTCCTGTGTTGTAATGAAGAAAGGTTCTGTGTCTGCATCCCTTTAATAATAATTAACCCTTAGGGAGTATCTCACCAAAAATGAAATTCCTATTGCAGGGGATGCCAAAAATGATACTTGTAACTTAGTGCAGACTTCTGGGAAAATCATTTAGCCAATCACAGAAGCAGGAAGTGACATTTCTGGGGGCGTTCCATACACCAACCGTGTACGGAACGCCTCTAGGCAGGGCCGTCTTTAACGCAGGGCAAAAGGGGCAGATGCCCAGGGCCCAATCATTGTTGTGGGCCCAAAACAGCTGCCCCTTCAGCCCACATAAGATAAACACGTGCAGGGCTGGCAGCCTCACCTCTGTAGGCAATGAGGCTTGCACCAGCCCAGCCCCGTCTGTGTACACAGCATCAGTGATCTACAGACAGGAGGCTACATACAGCAGCATAGACCAGCGGTGTATTTACCTTTGCTGCTGCCCTAGGCAAGGCAGAAACGCCGCCCCCCCCCCCCCCGGACTAACCGGCCGATTCATGGACAGCATTGCCCCTCCCCCCCCCCCGGGACTGACCCGCCGATTCCCGTAGATGGCATCACCCACCTCTGTATAGTGTGCTCTCGCCACCAGCACCACGACACAGAGAAGCAGCTGATGACAGGAGGAAGACTTCCGTGTCACGTGACGGCCCGCAAGCAGCAGCGGCGCTGTGTGCTAGATGCCGGCTGCTGCTCTGTGTCGTGGTGCTGGCGCTGGTGGCGAGAGCACACTATACAGAGGTGGGTGATGCCATCTACGGGAATTGGCGGGTCAGTCCGGGGGGGGAATGTGCAGCTTTGCCCTAGGCAAGGCAGCATCGCCGCCCTCCGCGAATCTGCCGCTCCAGGCAAACGCCTTGTTTGCCTCGCGGCAGATACGCCCCTGGCATAGACGTGGCTCTATGCCCACTATCAACCCGGCCCCACCCCCTGCTCTCCGTACTCCGCTCTCCTGTGTTGTCTGGGGCCCTGCTGGGAGCCGGCACCGTGCCCTGAGATGTCACCCCTGCTGTGTCCCCTCCCCTCTCCAGACCTTCATACCCAGTAAGTGCCCATATATGCCACAGTATATGTATGCAACAGATACATATACTCTGTTTTATACATACATATGCAGAGCAGGTTCCTGAAATTGCTTCTCTAGTTCAATCTATGCTGCTGAAGCAGGATTTAGAATTTTTAAAGAAAATGTCATTATCAAGTTCTATGTATGGGTGCAGCAAAGCTTACTGGGCTCTCAATACTAGGGATGCACCTATAGATAATATTACAAACAGGATCTGTGCTATTGCACAACAAACCCCCAGGCTACCATGCTAAAAAGTGTATATAACACCTAAAAAACATGAATTATAAACGTGCACTGCACTATAGAGACCAACTACATATGTAATTTAATGATAATCTACATGTGAAATAAATACAGAAATATGCAGAATCACCCTATGGTAAATAATACATATTAGGTATTTGTCCACTATATATTGTATTTATTCACCATAGGGTGATTCTGCACATTTATTACACATGTAGATTATTATTAGATTGTATGTGTAGTTGGTCTATAAAGCGCAGTGCACTTTTATCATTCACTACGGATGCTACTGCACCGATACTGACACCTGCACAGCTCACCTGAGACCATGTGCAGTACAGCCCTGAGACCCCGCACAGCTTCCCACCAGGATATTGAATATCATTCCTGTCTCTCGCTCTCCTGTCTGTCTCTCCTCGCTCCCTCTCCTGGCTGTCTCTTCTCACTCTATTCTGGCTGTCTCTTCTCGCTCTCTCCTGGCTGTCTCTCCTCGCTCTTCACCCTCTCCCCTGGCTGTCTCTTCTCACTCGCTCTCCTGGCTGTCTCTCCTCTCCTGCTGTCCTGGCCGTCTCTCCTCTCTCTCTCCTGGCCGTCTCTCCTCTCTCTCTCCTGGCTGTCTCTCCTGGCTGTCTCTCCTCTCTCTCTCTCTATTTTGGCTGTCTATCCTCGCTCTCTTGTTTATTTTACAAAAAAGTTGCAGTGTGGTGCTAGACTGTTCAGGTTTTGCTTGAAGAAAAGGCAGCAACCCTTGCAGCACCATTCTGTTTAATATGCGATCAGCTTCACAGTGTTACTCCACCTCTTCCATATGCTGCTGGTAGGGCCTGGGGGGGGGGGGGGGGGGGGAAAAATTTTTTGCCGCTG